TTCGTCCCTGAAATCAAAGTGTAATTGTCCTTAAACTACAAGACAGGGTCAATTGTGACTAGCAAAATAACTAAATATCCATTATGTAATGTTATTTATTACTTTGTTTTTAATAAAAAAAGGTCAAATAAAATAATGAACGGACTTTGTTTTTTCTTCTTCCGAAAGTAAATCGTATGTACGATGTCATTTGGCTATGATAAAATGTAAAACATATCGACCAAAATAGAGTGAAAGTATTTATTTTGTTCAGTGACAGACAAAAGACAGTTGTTCAGATCTTCCGTGTTCGCAGGGATCACTGATCACAACAGCAGCACACGAGCAGTGAGCAGAGAGCAGAGTTGCAGACAGAGGTCAGACAAAATAGACCGAGAGTACAACAATATAGACTCATCGAGTTGTCTTTATTCTTTATATATATAAAATAAGTATATATATATATATATATATATATTTATATATATATATGCTGCTGTGTGAGTGATCCCTGCGAACACTGAAGTTCTGAGCAACTATCTTTTGTCAGTCACTGAACAAAATAAATGCTTTTACTCATTTTGGTCGTTATGTTTTTTAAAATAAAAACCTATTTACATTTAATCATAGCCAAATGACAATGTACATAAGGCCTTTCAGTCATTATTAAAACGTTTCAAGTCATTAACCATTACGATCATATATATCAGAACGTAGTTGTACCAAGGCAAGAATTAATCACGAACACAATTGTATGTCGCGATTGTCGGGTAGATTGATTTGAACGTTTGTATAACATCTTTACACAAAAAAATCCTTAAAGCGCTTGTTAATCAGTGCAATTCTACAAGCGCTTAAGGATTTTTTATGAGGATAAAGCAGACGCAGCCGATCAACATTCCTTAGATGAGCACATCAATAGCTCGCTCTTACAAGTTGTACTCAGGAGTCATAAGACAGGTAAAAAACCGTTCGCACCCCGCTATACGTACAAATGGAAAGACACACAATGCCCTATCGTGCTATCCATCACCCTCGAGCTATGTGCAGGTATGTAACGTGCTATCAGAAATGGCTTCATCTCGCAATATCTATATCTCCTCCTTGTCCCATATCCACATTTTCTTGGCGATGTTGGTGCTGATAAAGGGCTCTTCATATGCCTCAGTAACCTGTTCCAGCAGGTCAATGCGTCAAACAAAATATGGGATCCGGTTGAGTGAGAATTTGTAGCAGAAGGTGTACTCGTCAAATGAAAGTGAAATACTGAGACTATACCAAATTACGAGCAATATATTCTAATCCTCAATAAATAGTCACAATTGACCCTGTCTTGCGGTTTAAGGACAATTACACTTTGATTTCAGGGATGGA